CACAGTTGAATGCATGACTTGCTAGATGGAAAGATGGGTGAACATATGAGTGGATGGAGAGACAGACATATGAGTGGATGTAGGAATGGGATGGGTAAATACTAGAATATTTGGAGAGATAAATAAAAGTAAGGACAGAAGACTATTTGAAGAGACAGAAGGATGTATTAAAGAATGAATAGATAATTCACTGGTTGGGTAGCTGGGCAAGTAGATACACAAATTGATGAATGAACATATAGATAATAGAAATTGACATATATTGACATATATTGAGTGGTTATTATGGTCTAAATTGATGGATGACTAGCTGAATGCTTTGTCCAAGTGTTTTATCTATATTAAGACATTTAGGTAGATGGTTGGATGTATGTATGAATGTATGTACTTGTGTGTATGTGTGTGTGTATGTGTGTGTGTGTATGAATGGGTGGATGGTCAGATGGATGACTACTTGCTCAAAGAAGACTTGTAAAGGGAGATGGATGAACATGGGTATATATGCACTGATGGATGCTTGAATTAATAAATTGATGGAATGATATATTGTGTTTATATGAACAATTGGCTGGCTAGATAAATTGAGAAGTTGATGGATTGGTAAATGACACATGGAAAGACAAAGCTTTATAGAGAGAATGGATGAATGGATGGATAGATGATGGATGGATGGGTAGACAGATAAATGGATGGAGGGCACATGGATTCATAGGTGGGCAAATGGATGGACGATGGATGAAAGATAAATAATGGATGGAGGATGGATGGGAGAATAAAGGAATGGATAAATGGATGGACAGATGATGGATGATGGCTGGATGGGAGGGTGGATGGACAGATGAATGGCTGGGTCATGGATGAAGAATGAATAAAGGATGGATGGAAGGGTGGAAGGATGATGGGTGAGTGAATGGATGGGAGGATGAGTTGATGGATAGTTGGATAGATGGATAGATGGATGAATGGATGGATGGGTGGATGGATGGAAGGATGGATAATGGATGGAAGGATGGATGATGGATGGATGGATGGATGATGAATGGATGGATGATGGATGGATGGGTGGGTGGATGGAGGGATGGATGATGGATGGGAGTATGGATGGATGGTGGATGGGAGGATGGGTGGATGGGTGGATGGATGGATGATGGATGGATGGGTGGGAGTATGGGTGGGTGATGGATGGATGGGAGTATGGGTGGATGGTGGATGGGTGGGTGGGTGGATGGACAGACAAATGGATGAATGATGGATGTAAGATAGATGGGAGGATGAGTGGATTGATGGATGGATGGGTGGGTGGATAAATGATGGTAGAGTTGAGGTCAAATACTCTACTTTATTGCCCCTGTTAGGACATGCCCTCGCTGTAGAACTATGAATCCTGGCCACTGCACTTAAGATCTGTTCTTGCCACCTCTTACTCGTCAGTACTTCTGATAGAAAGCCGTGTGATTCTGTTTTAAGTTCTTAGTGTCAGGGAATTCCCGTAATCCCAAGACAGCCCTCTCCCCTGTGGGAATATTTTTCCTTCTATTGAACCAAAATATGCCTTGGCAAATTTCATTCCTGGCTGTGACTAGGATTCCAGAACTAAGAGCAAGAGGCGAGGGGGTGATGGGCCGGTTGAGATGAGCGTGGAGCCCAGGCTCACCTCCTCGGGTGATCTGCTGTGTCCGGGCCCTGCTGTGCTCCCCCTCCTCCTCATTCCACCAGGGTCCTGGGGTCCCCACAGCTCTGGCTGGATGCTGGGGACAGCAGTGGGCACCGTTGCATCCACAGCACTCCCCACACTCTTAGCTCCTCCTAGGTTGTGTGCGGAGGGGGGAAGGGAAGATGCTTGGGCTCCCCTCCAGGACTGGCCACGGGACCCAGCCTGCGTGTGGGCGGGGGGATGTGAGCCAGACTTCCTGACCCCCGCGGCGTCTCCACCAGCAGCCGCCACCTGAGTCACTGCGGACCAGCTATGGGCCCACGTGGAATTTTTCCGAGTGTTGCCGCTGCTTCCAACACAACTGCCTTCACCGGTTTGCGTGTTTGCCCGCTTGCCGGCTTGATCACAGCCTTACCCTCTGTCCATGCACATGTCCCCCAGGAGGGGCTGTGGGGCTGGGGGATCAGGCCGGCCATGGGCATAGAGGTGGCCTTTCTGGGCCGGTGCTGCGGTGGCCAGCTGTCGGTGGATCTGGCCTGTGGCTCTGGCTCTGCCAGGCTCTGGGTCCTAGGCCTTGGGATCCAGTCTAAGCCTCGATTTTCCAATCTGAGACATGGGCACAGTGGCGTCCACCTCTGGGGTGCTTGCAATGAGCGTGGCCAAAGGGCAAGCCTGGGGTGGGAGACTGTGGGCCCTTTGTGACTCCCCTCGAGCGAGTCCAGTCCCTCCCCTTGTCCGGCCACTAGCCTCCAGTGAGTCACGGTGACTAAGCCCAACCAGAGAAACAATGGGCTGGGCTGCTTCTCTGGGGCCTTGGCCAAAGGGCCAGGGGCCACGGGCCGGCTGGCCAGGGCACCACTCTGACCTTGTGCCCAGTGGCCACTTCTAGGGAGTGTGGACACCAACCCAGAGAGGCCGGTTGGTGTCTACCTCTTGGGGTCTCGCTGCTCAGACCTCCGGGTGCAGTCTGGGGGTGGGGGCTGGGGAGGGCAGCAGCCTTCCCATTTGGGGAGCAGAGAGGATCCCTGGGGTGCCCGGCCTCCCCCTTGAGGTGATAAAAGGAGCTGAGGGCTGGGAATAAACAAAGGGAAGTAGAGCACCCAGAGGGAGGGAGAGG